AGCAATGCCAGGCTGTCCCTCTCCCAGGATCAGCAATGCCAGGATGCTCCTGCCCCAGGATCAGCAATGCCAGGATGCTCCTGTCCCAGGATCAGCAATGCCAGGATGCTCCTACCCCAGGATCAGCAATGCCAGGCTGTCCCTGCCCCAGGATCAGCAATGCCAGGATGCCCCTGCCCCAGGATCAGCAATGCCAGGATGCTCCTGCCCCAGGATCAGCAATGCCAGGCTGTCCCTGCCCCAAGGATCAGCAATGCCAGGCTGTCCCTGCTCCAGGATCAGCAATGCCAGGATGCCCCTGCCCCAGGATCAGCAATGCCAGGATTCTCCTGCCCCAGGATCAGCGATGCCAGGATTCTCCTGCCCTAGGATCCATGATCCTGTGTCAGTACAATTTGCCATTAATTCCGCATTTTTCCCACGTTTCCCATTTTAACACCACCTTCATGCAAATGTTTTCTCCAGTTTCCTTGTCCTGCCTTTTTTTTTTTTTTACATATTCCAAACCTGCCACGGTGTGACTTCAAGGAAATTCCCCAAATCCCCAGGAACTGCCCTCTCCAAAGCAAAGCAAGGCAGGCCCCGTTCCCACTCCCACACCTGTCGGACCAGTAGGATCGGGGGAGGCCCTGCCCCGGTGCTTTGTGGCTTCAGTCATGTTTATAAACTACCCCGAGATCTGAGAGAAAACGTTTACGAGGGCAAAATACTAAGTTGCCAAAGTGTTTCCAGCCTCATAAACACATCGTTTTAAATGCGAGGAGACACCAAGCAGGGCAAGATAGCACAAGTGGGATCCTTCCCGGGAGCTCCAACTGCAGAATTCCCTCCGTTTCTGCAAACCATTTCAATCATGAATCGGAAAAAAAAGCCCATTTAAAGATATTTTCTGCGTTCTAAAATTGGAAACTCATTTGTTTTTTTCACTGCCCTCCTCCTCCTTTTGTTTCTCTCTCTTTGTGCAGCGTTAGGACAAAGCTTCCTGGAAATCTGGGCTGAAATGTGGGAATCAATTCAGCTCGGGGTGACTTTGTTCCTTTATTTCACACAAACTGCAGCAAACGTGTTTGTTGTGGGGCCATTCACTGGAACATCATCCCAACAATTGTGCAGCTGAGCTGGGATCCTGGGGCTCCTCCTGCTTGTGGGCCTGCAGTGGGGAAAGCAGGAATTGGCAGCCTGGGAGACAGAGGTTTAGGACTTAGTCATGGGCCACTTTGCAAACAGAGTGGGATGATCAATAATTCATTGATAATAGTTAATTTTTGTGCACTGACAGAGCCTGCCCAGAGAAGCTGTGACTGCCCCTGGATCCCTGGAAGTGTCCAAAGCCAGGCTGGATGGGACTTGGAGCAACCTGGGCTAATGGAAGGTGTCCCTGCCCATGGCAGGGGGTGGCACAGGATGGGCTTTAATGTCCCTTCCAACCCAAACCAGTCTGGGATTCCAGAGCCAGGGCCAGCAGTGGGTACCTGGGCTGGAGCCATCCATGGCTTTGTGGCCACAAGCTGCTCTCCCAGCCACCCTGAGCTCCCCCATCCTGGGAAATGCTCAACCTCAGCCCCCTGATTCCTTCAAGGATTCATGTCCCCATCCTGAGCTCCCCCATCCTGGAAAATGCTCAACCTCAGCCCCCTGATTCCTCCAAGTATTCATGTCCCCACCCTGGGCTGGTGCTCTCTGAGGTTTTCCAAAGGCAGGAGCTCCCCCAGCCCCGAGCGGAGCAATTCTCTTGTGGAGCATTTCAGAGGCTCCTTCCAGGAAAACTTGTTCACTGAGCAGGATTCCAACACCCCCGTGGGGAGGCACCTGCCCATGGATGCTCCTCACCAGGGCCAAAGGCTGGGAAGTCTCCACGTAATCCACGGTGCTCCTGGTGGCAGCAGAGCTCCCTCCCGGGGACAAGCTGCTCTCCAAGCCGTGGAGGTTGTGCTGCTTAATATCTGAACAGAAGGCAACACAATTAGAGCTCAGTCTAATGAATGAACCCTGGTAAGAGCCGTTGTCACATTCCTTGTCCAGTCCTTGGCGTTGGATGCTCCGTGTGGAGCGAGGAGCCGGCAGCGCAGCCCCGGCCACCCACGGCCACAGCCACAGCAGAGACACGGATGCTGCGGCCACAAGATGCCAAATAAACAGCGTGGACAACCATCTGTCACCCCCCTGAGCTGCAGCCAGCCCTGACACCCCATTAGGCCACGGCCCAAAAGCACAAATCTGGTGGTTTGGCCACCGGCGGTTTTCGTTTTGCTACAGAAAAGAGCTTCTGGCATTTGTTAAAAACAGCAAAAAAAAAAAAAAACAAAAAGAAAAAGCAACAGGAAGAGAGCCAAGGGATTTGAGGACTTGTTTAAATAATGGGAAGGCTGCTGCTGCCTGTTTTGTTTATGTCATCAAAAAAGGGCACAGCTTTGAAGTTCCCCATGAGCAGCCACAGTGTTGGCTGAAAAAGGCAGGAGTGCTGGGATGCTGCTGGGTTTGCACCTTCCTGGAGTGGAGCATCCACGGGGTCACTGTATCCAAAACCCCCGTGTCTGACCTCAGATCGAGCTGATTATTTTTCATTATTAACGTAGAGAAAGAGGGAAAGAATCATAACATCTTCCTCCCCCAAAGCATTTGTTGTGCTACAGCTTAAGTTGTGAAATGCCACTGGAATTCCAATCAAAGACAAACCAGGGGGGAGTGTCACCTCTCCTGGCTGTCACCAAACCACCAAACCACATCCTCCTGCTCTGAGACCTCCTCCAGGT